GTTTTCCTGATAGTTTTCTGGGGAGCAGATTTGTAGAGGTTCCCGAATGTAGTAAACTTGTTGGTGTCCTCATTGAAATAGGGTATGAGTTCCACTGCCTGATTATACACTATAGAAAATGATTTAGAGCAGTGCTTATATGATTTTTATAGTCTATAAAATGGTATGTGTGCATGTTGGATGGGTGGGGAGGTGGGGAAGAGAGAATAAAATTGGAAGGTAAGAACTGGCCTTGGTGCTGAATCAGACAAAAGTTCAACAAGTCTAACATTTTTCTTTAAATAGCAGCCAGCCAAATGCCTCCAAACCCTTGCAATTAAGTCACAAACTGATTATTTCCCTCCCTCCACAATTGTTTGTCCGAAGCTAGGGATGAATGAAGCTGACATTTTTCATTTCCCAGTAATCCAAACTTCTCTTCAGTTCACCCCCACTTCTGCATCTGTTTGAGATTAAGTTTAAAAAAATCAGCATGAAGTTTGCACACATTTTTGAAAGCATTTCTCTTACTATTTGCATTTTGTACAGAATTTTGTCTAATATATGCATTTTTGCAAGCAATTTCCCCCATAAAATCCATTTGCCTTGTTATTTCCACAAATGTGTGCATTTGTGGGTGCCATTCCCACATTATATTTGCCAGTGGTAATTTAATGAATAGGTCTAATCAGCATGGCCAAGAGATGCTTTCATTTAGGAAGCCTTACACTGAATCTGCTTGTTGTTGTTGTTGTTTAGTCGTTTAGTCGTGTCCGACTCTTCGTGACCCCATGGACCAGAGCACGCCAGGCACTCCTGCTTTCCACTGCCTCCGGCAGTTTGGTCAGACTCATGTTTGTGGCTTCGAGAACACTTTCCAACCATCTCGTCCTCTGTCGTCCCCTTCTCCTTGTGCCCTCAATCTTTCCCAACATCAGGGTCTTTTCCAGGGAGTCTTCTCTTCTCATGAGGTGGCCAAAGTATTGGAGCCTCAGCTTCATGATCTGTCCTTCCAGTGAGAACTCAGGGCTGATTTCCTTAAGAATGGATGCATTTGATCTTCTTGCAGTCCAGCACCATAATTCAAAAGCATCAATTCTTCGGCGATCAGCCTTCTTTCTGGTCCAGCTCTCACTTCCATACATCACTACTGGGAAAACCATGGCTTTAACTATACGGACCTTTGTTGGCAAGAATCTGCTTGTACACCTTCTCTATCTGTAATTTGAATGTGTTGCTTATGATGCCTGGTTATCTATTTTTTTAAAATGCCTTTTCCCTTCCACTTTCTGTCCTGCGTTGACAGTGTTCAGGCATGCCCGTTAGCAGGGACTGAGGGACCTCCCCCCCATTTTCAATGAGGGGGCCAGACCCCCTCAGTATCCCACAGTGATGTGCGCACACCATGTGCAATGGGCCCACATGCCCACACAGCATGCGTGTGTGATGTGAGCATGTTGCGGGACACTGGTCCCCTCAATCGTGGGGTAAGCCAGCGCACCTGACAGTGTTCGTGTGCATAACAGCTCTGTGGGAACTATAGCTCTATGAGAGGAGCAGAGGTCTCGTAACAAGTCTCAGCACCCTTAGCAAACTACAGGTCCCAAGATTCTTTGGATGACTGCTTAAAGTGATATGATACAGCTGTAGGTGTATACAGCAGATAGGGTCTAGATCTGAGAGGGGATATAACCATTGTTTCTCTGAAATCACCTTCCCCTCCCTTTTGTCTCTTTGATTTGCCTGTAAATTTTGTGAGTCTGTAGGACTTCTATGTTGTAAATGCTATCTTCTGGTAAAACATGTAGGGTTATTGTTTAGAGTAATGTAGGAAGCGTTTAGGAACATGTGGGTGGATTGAAAAGCTTGTGTTATTTTTCTTCTTCATCCTCCTCCTCCTCATCATCATACCTTGTGATCTTTAGGTGAAGGGTGGTATAGTAATTTAATAAATAAATATATAAATGATGATGATAATAAATCATATATAAATATAGAGATATATTTTAAAAATGAGGAAAACTAGTGACACACTCACTATGCAGTTTGAAATCTATGAACTTCCAACAACTTTCCCACCTTGACTCATCAATAATTTCAAATCTCTTCCTCAATAAAAGATGTGTTCCTGATGGATGAAGGAGCCATGCTATTTTCTTTCTTCTTCTTTTTTTATCTTGGACTGGTCGATCCACTCGTTGGTGTTGATATGGGGGGGGGGGATAAACAAACATTAGAGTCCCTCAGTTGGGGGAAAGAAACAGTAAGTATTCCAGTGTGTAATCTCTAAATATTTTATACTTAGAGTGCCTTTTTCATTAAGAATACACTCTTATTTCCTGACATGGGGGAAATGGATCAGTATCATCACTCTGAAAAAGAGACAGAAGGAGTTCTGTTTAGATGTAGATTTTGAATGTCTGCCAGGACTGGATGAAACCCTTTGCAGAACAATCACTATAAAAATCAATATTGCTCTTTCCAGGGAAGTATATTTCTCATGTCACGTCTGCTCTGCCTGCATTTTAGGGCAGCACTTTCCCACCAGTTCTTCTCTTTCCCCCTTCTTATAAATGTGAAGCTCAGGACCGAAAGAATGCAGGCAGCCTAAGAAATATTTAAGCCTCATTTAAGAAATGTAAGTAGCTTTGTGTACAAAATATAGCCAATTATACATGCAACAGGGGAGGAGAACCTGTGACTCTATGAACCTCTAACAGCCTCAGCCAGCAATGGGAGTGGTCAGAGATGATGGGAGTTGTAGTCTAGCAATTTCTTAAGAATGAAAGGTTTCCACATCCCTAATGAACAGTAATTAATGGGACAAGACAGTTCTTTATAATTGGGGACATACAAAATATGAAAGCACGATATAATCAGGGATGGAGAGCCTATTGGCTTCCAGTTAATACATAAGAAGAGCCTGCTGGATCAGGCCAATGGCCCATTTAGTCCAACATCCTGCTCTCACAGTGACTGAACAATTGACTGTGGGAACCAGCAAGCAGGATTTGAGCGAAATAGCACTATTCTCTCCTGCAGTTTCCAGCAACTGGTATTCAGAAACATTGCTGCCTCTGATTATCAAGGCAGAGCATAGCCATCATGCCTTATAGCCATCAATAAACCTCTCCTCCACAAATTTGTCTAATCCTCATTGTAAGCCATCCAAGTTGATGGCCATCAGTGTCTTCTGTTGTGATGGCCTGGGATTTGGACTTGGATGCTGAATCTTAGGAAGCCCAGCCTGCATAGGATTCCCCGCCTCCAGAACCAGCTGAGCTGGGGCTGGGGCATGAGCCTGAAGGGTCCTCACCTGTACTGGATCATCAGGTGCAGGCATCAGCTGAGTCTGCTCTGGCTCCTGAGGTGATGGAGGACCCATTGCCTGCAGGTGCTCCACTCTCAGCCCCATCAGAGGAAGCTGAGGTTGCCTCTGGGTCTAGTAACCCTCTAGCCTCTCCTTAGCTACAGATGCTCGGGGCAGAGAGGCGGAGGGAACTAAGTTCCCGCAGGAGGAGCGCTCGCCTCCAGACCAGGAGAGGAGAGTCACCCGAGGATCGGGGCCGCCCTATGCCTCGGGGCAGATAAAAGCCGGCCAGCCCCAGTCTCAAGTTGTGGGAACAGCATTGTTGGTTGCTAGTTCCTGTCTGAGCTCCTGCCCTGCCCTGGCTCCCTGCTTGCATGCCTGTTCCTGACTTCACCCAACTCCCTGCCCTGCACCCAGCTTCAGCTACTACGGACTGCCTCCACATTGCACCTTTGACCACGGACCGGACTTGGACCCTGCCTCTTGGGTCACCCACAAGACCAGCACATCTGTGAAGATGAGTTTCATAGTTTAACTGTGTGTACTTTCTTTTGTCCATCCTGAATCTTCTAGCCGCCCTGACCCCGGTCTTGGCTGGGGAGGGCGGGGTATAAATAAAAATGTATTATTATTATTATTAAACACTCAGTTTCTTTGGATTTCCATAAGTTCCACTGTTATGGGATAGGGAGAACACTTTGTCTTTATCCACCTTTTCCATGCCATGCATAAAACTATATGCTTGTTGTTGGACAGCATGGCCAGTGATGATAGGAACTGTTCCCGCAAGAGGCTGGTTCATTAGGATGAATGGGGCACTGCCCCATGAGCTTCAGTCTGCCCCCACCCAGCTCACACTTGCATGCCTTCTTACTCTCCCTGCTGCTGGTTCTGGCTCCACTTACTGCTGACCTCCCTCTCCCATAGTACAAATGATAACCAGCCAATGATGGAGACATTCTATACATAACTGATTGATTGACTGGATACAAGCTGTGCCCAAAGTGGCTTACAGCAAACATTCAAGATAGAGAATATTAGGCCACAATACCTCAGGACCGCAATACCTCAAGGACTGCCTCTTTCCATATGAACCTACCTGGACCCTGAGACCATCTTCTGAGGTCTTCCTTCATGTGCCTCCTCCTTGAGAGGTCCAGAGGGTGGCAACATGAGAACGGGCCTTCTCTGCAGTGCTTCCCTGTTTGTGGAATGATCTCCCCAAGGAAGTTCATCTGGCACCTTCATAATACACCTTTAGGCACCAGGCAAAAACATTCCTTTTTCAACCAGGGCTTTGGTTGATTTGACTGACATCCTACGCCCTTTTAAAATATGGTGGTTTTTTCGGAGCAGGGGTTATTGGGTTGTTGTTTTTATTTTGATTACATATTTTGTGGGTTTATATTTTGATTTTGTTCTGTGAACCACCCTGAGACCTCCAGGTATAGGGCGGTATAATAATAATAATAATAATAATAATAATAATAATAATAATAATACAATCTCTATCTCTGTCTCAATAGAAAAAGATTAGAGATTTGAGTTTAGAGATAGAGATAGAGATAGATAAAATGCCAGAACATGTCAGTAAATGCAAAATAAGAAAATCAACAATGTAGCAAAAAAAAAAAAAAAGAATTCCATATTACAAAAAAGAAGCCTGACTAGGCTTAAGTACATGAATACAAAGCAAAAATGAAACTTAACTGATAGCTCAGTTGGTTAGAGCATGGTGCCAATAATTCCAAGGTTACAGGTTTGATCCCCATATGGGCAACTGCATATTCCTGCATTTCAGAGGGTTGGATTTACATGATCCTCAGGGTCTCTTCCAACTCTATGTTCTATGATCCAATGAATAAAGTTCTGGTACTTGTCTTGCTGCACTCCAAGGAACCTGGCTTAAATATATTTCAGAGGGAAGGAGTAGCTGATATAAACCTGACTACCACATCTCTCTTCCAGAGGAGGCTAACAGCACTAAAAGGCAAATGTCCAAGAGAAATGATGGTAAGTCTTGAACTTTCTTCATATATGCTACAACAGCAACAAGAATACTCATCGCAAAGTATTGGAAGACACAAGAGCTACCCACACTGGAGGAATGGCAGATGAAAATGATGGACTACATGGAATTGGCGGAAATGACTGGCAGAATCCGTGACCAGGGAGAAGAGTCAGTGGAAGAAGATTGGAAGAAATTTAAAGATTATTTACAGAAATATTGCAAAATTAATGAATGTTAGAGTGATTTTGGATTGAAATTAAGTGGCTTCTAGCTGTATAGGCTTTAAAGTTATAAATAGATTAAGATCAAGGATTAGGATTAAAAGGTTAAAAGAATGGAAAATTGGTTTTTAATAGGTAAAAATTTAATGTTATATTATATTAAGATTAAGGACTGGGATTAAAAAGGAGGGAAAGGAATTGCTGGACTAACAAACTGAATTGGAATACAAAAGAGGGAGGTATGAGGAGGTCCGGGAAACAAGTAAATGTAAAAGTAGTGATGAAAAGATGGAATTGTTTTTTCTTTTTTCTTTTTGTATTTTGTATTGTGTACTTTTTTTATATTCTTGAATTTTTCTTTTTTGTTGATGTGATTTTTTCTTTGTGAAACTATTAATAAATATCATTTAAAAAAAGAGAGAGAGAGAAATGATGGTAAGTCTTTTCCCCAGGCTCCTGGAAATATCAGCTGCTGGTGCAAGTCATATTGATGGTGATGAGAATTTACCACAGGAACCTTGTTCCAAGTGAGTTCGCAATGCCATTACCTTTCTTCTACCAGTTGAGAATAATCCAGAGCCTCCATTACTCCATGGTGGCAAAAAGAGTTTCCTTCAGGTCAGTGTGCAACTGAAACTAGCCTAGCATTACAATTACCTTGTACCTAGTCTAAAATGTCATGGCAGACATCCTCTTGAAAGATAACCACTCCTCCTGGGTAAAAGTTTTGACCTAGCTCTATCTCAGTATCAGTGTTAACTGACAAATTTTGATGTGTCTGTATACACACTATCCACTTGCTTATTCTGCAAATATTTCTATTCAGTCACTGACACTTGTTTTGCTGAAATTGTGAAATGCTGACCATGTACTTACACCACGTTCTGCTTTTCATAACTGTAGTTTGGTTGTCAGTGTATGGGCCCTCACTAGGTTTTGGTAAAGTATTGAAATTTGCTAATTTTCCTCAAAGTTCTCTCAGAATTACAGTAAAGCTAACTTCCTTTTTACCCTTGTTTTAATTCAGCAGTGCCTCCCAAAGTTACCTCAGCATTCATAAAATTGTTTCGCCTCCAAAGTTGCTTCTCGTTTATTTTGAATAACACAAAATTAGATCAAAGCGAAACAGTTCATAATAAGCCCCAGTATTTAGATGCATGTCTTGAATCTAAAAGTGAATAGCAAAAGGGATAGAAAATAAAATTGCCAATATCATGGTGCCATGATAAAAAAATCATGACCACATTTGGAATGCTGTGTACGGTTCTGGTCACCCTACCTCAAAAAGGATATTGGAAATCTGGAAAAGAGAAAAGGGCAAGGTTTCCACTCAGGGGCTTCCCATGGGCATCTTGTTGGCCTCTGTGTGAGAACAGTGTGTTGGACTCAATGGGCTTCTGGCCAGATCCAGCAGATTCTTGTTACGTTTACGTTTATACATGAGGGAAGTCAATGGAAAATTCCTGAACAAAGTTAGCTGCTTTCTTCATGAGTCTGGAAGTGAAAGAAATACCATACTTTTCTGTCTATAAGACGCCCCCTTGTATAAGACACCCTCTATTTTGGGGGACTCAAATTTAAGAAAATGGGGGAGAAGATGGCTCAGAGTTGTTGAGCTTTTTTTGGTGGGGGATTGACCAGAGTTTTACAGCTTTGGGGGGGGGGGAATTGCCAAAAATTGCTCACACGCGGCATTGACACTGACAATCACTGGCAGCCGACAATCGCCCACTTGCCACAGCGAAAGCCAATCGCAAACAGACCCTTCCCCAGAAAAAACCTCTTACCCGACTGAGAAAAGCTGTCCACTGGCAATCACGTGCATCCCAGAACAGCAGCTGCCAATCGCGGCAGCGACAGCCAATCCACAGCAGTGTTTGCTGCATAAACCAATCACCAATCCAATTAGACAAGCAGCAGCCAATCCAAAGCAGCCCTTCTAGCCGCCAACAATCCTTGCTGACAAGCTCCTGCTTGCAGCTGCAGCCAATCACCCGTCCACCCCATTCACTATCATGTATAAGACAAGGCACATTTTTGAACATAATTTTAGAGTAAAAAACCCTCGTCTTATAGATGGAAAAGTACGGTAATTGTCAATGAGTGCACTGTAAGTTTAAAGCTACCAGTCTCCAGGTCGGGACGCTTGTGTCCCAAACTGAGAAGGGGAAAGGGAAGGCTATGGCTGATCTGTAATCGCAGGTGCCTTTGAGAAAAATGTTGTAAAGGCAGAATTCCCAAAGCTGCATCCTTTTCATTTAGGAAAAGGCCATTGTTTCTTTTCATGCCATTGGGCTGATATTTGCAGAGAAGCTCACACAGATTAAATGGAACAAAGGACTTGGGAAGCAGACCTCTGCTAAAAAAACACATTAGTGCATGTTATAGGTCAATGGCGGGACCTAAATATAGATGCATGTTTTAACAGTACTTGATAACTGCTTGGTCAGGGTTTGCTTCAGGTCTGGCTACATCTTCCTGCATTTTTCTACATAGTCAGAAAAGCTCAGTGATAAAACTAGCAATCGCCTATATCTAATAAATCAATATATAATAATATCTTTATTGTCATTGTACAACCTGTGTACAATGAAATTAAACAAGCCTCCCCCCACAAAACACTCAATATCTCCCCCGTCCAGCAACTTTAAAAGGTGAGAGGAATTCAGCAGTCAGTGCTCCGTGACACACATTTAAACCAAACAATGCAAATGTAAAATAATAATGATAATGATAAAATCCCTGCAGTAAGAAGATACTACAGTGGTACCTCGGGTTAAGTACTTAATTCGTTCCGGAGGTCCATTCTTAACCTGAAACTGTTCTTAACCTGAAGCACCACTTTAGCTAATGGGGCCTCCTGCTGCCGCTGCACCGCCGGAGCACGATTTCTGTTCTCATCCTGAAGCAAAGTTCTTAACCTGAGGTACCATTTCTGGGTTAGCGGAGTCTGTAACCTGAAGTGTATGTAACCTGAAGCATATGTAACCCTAGGTACCACTGTACAAAGTAGAGATCTGATAGTAAGTTAAGCAGTTAATGTAAAATCCACGTTAGACCAAACATCTATTAATATGTTAATAAATAACAACAAACATAAAGTTCCTGACAAATCACTTTTTCAGAAGTGTTTCCATCCATGGGAAGAAGACACACACAGAAATCATGAATATTTGCCTGCAAAAAAGGGGGGGAAGAATGCAACCCTCTTTTCTCCTTACGATCTCTAACCATCATTGTCACTGTTCCATAATGCTTCCGGGCTGCTTTTAAGTTGTCAGCAGATGTTAAAAAGAGAAGTGCAACCCCCTGCATATTGTAGCTGACTTCAGAGGTGATGTTTGTAGTTTATGTGGAATAACATCACGCGGCAAACTGACAAGAGGTGGCATGCTGCGATGCCATATGGCATAATGTTCTGAATTGGAAAGAGATCAGACTTGTTTTCAGATCTGATATTGTTCTGTTTACCGATTCTAAAGAATGTGCTAATGCACACCAGCAAACGTGTGACATGCAAAAGCATTTGAAGCTGGAAGGATTGAAGTTTCCCCAAGGCTTAAGACAAGGAAAAAAGGAGCCGCCCAGCTGAATAGGCCTGTGAACCAATATAGCATCCAAGTGGTGTGGAACTGCTTCCCCATGGTATAATATGTTTCTATGGCTACAGAGGATTGAATGGTGTCACTCCTTCATAAAGACAGAGGTGGCAAGGCCCGACTGGGGTGTGGTATTAGATGAGGCAAGGTGGGACAAGGTCCAGGCTGGCAGCTACAGCAAGGCACAAGCTGAAACTGAGCCTGGGAAGCTTCTGCCCAGCTTAGGGAGGCCTAAGGCTCTCACACACAACATCACTCCCCCCATCAGTGACAGAGGAAGGGGGGTGTAGTGGGGGCGGTCAGCCCTGGATGTCATCCTGAGGGAGGTGACATTTGGTACATCGTCCACCCGCAACTCCCAAGCCTACCCCGAGCCATTGGAGGAAGGGGGGAGCTGTGCCATTTTGCTAGCAGCCTTCTCCCTTCGTTTTAACAGCTCAGGGGTCACGGGACTCGTGGGAGTCGAGGGCGGGTGGTGCGCCGTTTCCCTGCGCTCCCGGCTGGAGGAGGCAGGCAGGGGAGAGGACAGGAAGGAGGCAGGCGAGCAAACAATGGAGGTGAGCAAACAATGGAGGGGACTATATAGTGGATTTAAAGGGTCACTTCGGGGGCAGCACTGCAAACGTGGAAGGGATCTTGCAGTATGTTTACGCAGGCCTACTGGATGTAATAACGCTCCTAAGTGAAGGTGTGCCTGTATCTGATTGAAGCCGACCAAAGGTTAATATTTTCTATATTCAAGGCAGATTAATTCCCTAAGCACAAAGGACACGTACTGAAAACTGGAATTTCATATTCCCTTGTAAGAAATTGGGGCACTACAGGACCACAGCTGGCTGCACCATTGTAACATGCAATCTCTCTCTCTTTCTCTCTCTCTCTCTCTCTCTCTCTCTCTCTCTCTCACACACACACACACACACACACACAAGACACCACTACCAAGAACGC